TGAATGTAGAATCAGAAGATGTGTGGTTCAGGGTTCTGTCACTTAATCATGTGGCCTTGAGTAAGTTTGTCAAAAGGATGGCTCAAAGTTAACAAACTTGACCTTGATCACAAAACTATGTGGCAGAGCCAAGATTCAAACTGAAATCTTCTCATTTCGGGGTGCCTGGGTGGCTCAGTCAGTTAAGTATTTGACTCTTGGTTTCAGCTCAGGTCATGATCTCAGGGTCATGAGATCAAGCCCCACATTGGGCTCCACACTGGGCAGGGAGTCTGCTAGAGATCCTCTCCCCCTCCCTCTTTCTCTGCCCCTCCTCCTGCTTATGTGCTCATATTCTCTCTCTCTCTCTCAAATAAAAAAATCTTAAACAAAACAAACAAAAAAAACTGAAGTCTTCTCATTTCAATCTGGTGTTTTTACTATTTTATCAGCATGGGCCAAAAACACATACTAGAGAGTAAGGAGAACTCAAAAATACTTCTCTCAAGATACTAACTTTACGGGACGCCTGGGTGGCTCAGTCGGTTAAGCGGCTGCCTTCGGCCCAGGTCATGATCCCAGGGTCCTGGGATCGAGTCCCATATCGGGCTCCTTGCTCAGTAGGGAACCTGCTTCTCCCTCTCTCTCCCTCTGCTTGTGCTCTGTCAAATAAATAAAATCTTTAAAAAAAAAAAGATACTAACTTTACTATATGCTACTGATAAATGTAATGAAGAAAAGAAAACAGGGCGCCTGGGTGGCTCAGTTGGTTAAGCCTTCGTCTGCCTTCGGCTCAGGTCATGATCCCAGGGTCCTTGGATGGAGCCCCGCGTTGAGCTCCCTGCTCAACAGGGAGTCAGCTTCTTGCCCTCCCTCTGCTGCTCCCCCTGCTTGTGCACTCTCTAATAAACACATAAAATCTTTTAAAAGAGAGAGAGAGAGAGAGAGAGAGAAAGAAAGAAGGAAAGGAAAGGAAAGGAAAGGAAAGGAAAGGAAAGGAAAGGAAAGGAAAGGAAAGGAAAGGAAAGGAAAGGAAAGGAGGAAGGAAGGAAGGAGGGAGGGAAGGAGGGAGGGAGGGAGGGAGGGAGGGAGGGAGGGAGGGAAGGAAGGAAGGAAGGAAGGAAGGAAGGAAGGAAGGAAGGAAGGAAGGAAGGAAGGAAGGAAGGAAGAAAGAAAACAAAGGCAGAACCTTAGCCTGAAAGGCAGGGATGAGGGACAGCCAAGGCAAGAATTTAAAAAGAGCAGCAAGCCGTAATGCTGGATCTCAACACAGGTTTCTGTAACTGATGGTCCCACAGTCTCCTCTGAAAGTGAATTTAGTTTGGGTAGGTAAATACTATAACTCAACACAGAATAGGCTGCAGAGGAATTCTGTCTTCTGTCTGATTCACAGTGGCTAAAGGACAAAGCGCTGTCCTCCCTTGTAACACACCACCTTGAAAGAGAAAGTTCTACATCAGTTTCCTCCTGAGGGAATGAAATGGCAGGAGCCCCTCAAATTTACTGAGTCCCATGAATCCACACAACTGAGCACTTTGATCTTTGACAAGATCTTAGTGCCAAGCACTAACACGATCACTCTTTCTTTTTCTTATTTCTCCTCCACGTTTTTTTCACTATATTCATTTGATCCTTTTTCATGTGCCTATGGACTATTTTATTTGTCTCTTTCAAAACTGATTTTACTTTTGACAGAACTGCTTTATAGCTACAGAGGAAGAAAAAATTCTTTCTGTGGGTAAATGAAGGAAAAATTGGAAGAAAAAGTTAAAGGTTGGGGAGCCTGGGTGGCTCAGTCAGTTGGGTGTCCAACTCTTGGTTTCAGCTTAGGTCGTGGACTCAGGGTCATGGGGTCAAGCCCCACATCAAGCTTTCCCTCCCCCTCTACTCCTCCCCCCCCCACCCACTGGCACTCTCTATCAAATAAATAAATAAAATCTTTAAAAAAAAAAAAAAGTTAAAGGTTAATTACTCTACCACCCCCTGCCATATTTTAAAATTAAAGTAATCTAGGGGTACCTGGGTGGCTCAGTTGGTTATGCATCTGAACTCATCTCAGGTCATTATCTCAGGGGCCTGGGATGCAGCCCCACTATCATATCAGGCTCCATGCTCAGTGGGAAGTCTGCTTATCCCTCTGCCCCTCCCTCCAGCTCCTACTCTCTAACAAATAAAATCTTAAAAACTAAATAAATTAATCAAACTAAATTAAATCAAAGTAAAATAGTTTTGTAAAGAGAAAAGGAACAAATAGAGTTTCGGGGGTGGGGGGTGCCATTCAATGCTGCTTTTATGGGAGATGATCTTACAGCAAGCACTCTAAAACAGAGAACCAGGCAAGATTACTGTAATGGTAAGAACCATACATATGAGCTCAGATGCAGACAAAGGTCAATACATGTACAAGTATTTACTGAGCACCTACTAGGCCAGGCCAGTTCAATAATTATGTGACCACTATCATCTATTATCTTTGAAAAAAAATCCAATTGTCAGGGCACACAAAGAGCTAACAAATCAAATTTAAGATGACAGCTATAATGAAACCACCTCATGGCCACTTCAAAGAAAATACCACAGGAAGAAAAAAACTAATCAGTAAGGATTCTAGTCATATCCACAGTGAAAAGAAGACAAAGAATCACCAGCAGCACTCCAGCCCTTCTGTGACCAGGGAAGGGGCAGTGACCACACAGTTACACATCTCCAGGAAGTGTCTGATTATAAACCTAGTTAAAGTACATTCACTGGGTCCAGCTGGAATTATGTGGGACAACTGGTTCCTCTAAAAAGGGTAAAATAGGGGCTCCTGGATGGCGCTCCTGGATGGCTCAGTTGGTTAAGTGTCTAACTTCAGCTCAGGTCATGATCTCAGGGTCCTGGGATAGAGCCCCACATAGGGCTGCTCCCTGCTCAGCAGGGATTCTATTTGTCCCTCTCCCTTTGCCCTTCCCCCTGCTCATGCTCTCCATGTCTCTCAAATAGGTAAATAAAATCTTTTAAAAAATTTTTAATAGAGGGGCGCCTGGGTGGCTCAGTCGTCAAGCGTCTGCCTTCAGCTCAGGTCATGATCCCAGGGTCCTGGGATCGAGCCCCGCATCGGGGTCCCTGCTCCGCAGGAAGTCTGCTTCTCCCTCACCCATTCCCCCTGCTTGTGTTCCCTCTCTCACTGTGTCTCTGTCAAATAAATAAATAAAATCTTCTAAAAAAAACTAAAAAAAAATTTTCTAATAGAAAGGGTAAAACAGTATAAAATGACTCCACAAACCTGAAGAGCCACTAATAATTAAATATATTCATTTTAAGCAAATATATCAAAACATATTAAATAATCAGAGTTATGTCTCACATATTTGTTTTAACTTCAACTCTACATTGCTTAAAATCATGTACCTCAACCAGTGACACAAGATAGAAACAGGAGGGAAAGAGCATATAGCAAGTTAACAAAGAATGCCAGGATCAAGTCACTTGTCTTCACTAACAATTTAATGGTCCCATCCATCCATCCATCTTTACTTCCTTCCTTCCTTCCATTAACTTGCTTCGTTCAGCATTAGAGTTTAAGTTTGGAAAGTCACTGCCACAAAGACATAAAAAGCTTGTGGGAATTTTGGAAGACGTTTATAAAACACCACAGGAATTCTCTAAATTTATCTAAAGTCCTGTAAGAAGCCAAATCTAACCACACACACTCCTTCCCGTACAGCAGGGATTGGCAAACTACGGCCCCTGAGCCAAATCTGGCCCACTGGCCGTTTTTATACAGCCCAGAACCAACAACAGTTCTTACATTTTTAAATGGCTAAAGAAAGAACTCAAAAAAAGGGTAATATCTCCTGACATGTGGAAATTAAATGAAATTCAAATTTTAGTGTCGATTAATAAAGTTTTATTGGTGTACGCCACCTCATTTATTTACCTGTTGCCTATGACTTTTGTGCTACAATGGCTGCGCAGAGTAGCTACATGAGGGGGACCATATGAAAGATGATCTGGCCCAAAACATCTACCCAAACCTGCCCTAAAAGTTGCTACTAATTTGCCTTGAAATAACTGGCTTTAGCTATGTAGATTTGCAGAAGAGACTCCAGATGGTTTTATTGAATACCATCTGAGCAATAGAATAGAGAAACTGTTTTATCTCATTATAGCTAAGCTAAAAGCAAGCAAATCCCTATGACTTTTTTTTCCAACCATATTCTTTAACAAAGAAAGTAGTCTTTCACCACTTTATTCTTTCTAGTTGGGAAAGAGTTATAAGAATATTACTTGTCTTACTTCCTCTACTACTTAAGGAGCCCAAAATCTTCCACTTACATACAAAGTACACCAGGATATATATCTCAGTGTTCTTTTCCTGAAAGGGACAGAAAATACCATAAAGTGCAAAGCAGTGGCTCATGGTCACTTTTTCACATAATTACCTAAGACTACCTCAATATTACCTCCTTACTTAGAGTAAAATCTTCAGTATATTCTCCCTAACTCAAAGCTTTTTGGTAGGAAATTTTTCATACCTACAAAAAATTGAAAGAATAGGTCAATAAGACTTCCTACAAACCTTGCCTAGACTCTCAAGTACATGCTGCCATATTTGTTTCACCCATTTCTCTCTTTTCTAGTAGAAGTAACTGATTCTCTAGAAAATAATCTGTAGACCATCATAACACTTCAACCTAAATACTTTAGCAACCAGTACCAGGATACTAGTTTTCAATACCAGCATATTAATAAGAAAACAGAGGTACATAACTATAGAGAAGGTATAAAAAAATTTTTTTGAGTTGTTCCCCCCCCCCCCCCGAGCCCCACCCCTCCAGGTTAACGAAAATACAGGTAACCTCTGAAATCCCAATAATCCACAAAGTTAACCCTGGGGTGTTAGCTTACTGAGTAGCATAAGAGTAGTCTGACTAATATCATGATTATCAAAAGAGATCAGGACAGCTTAGACTAACTCTACCTCCTACGCTCAATGACTGCTCCTTTGCAGGAAAGACCATATCTCTGGCACTTACCTAAGGGCAGCAGCATGGTATGTGTCAACGTAATCAGAAATGAAGAGCTCTCGGTTCTTGATAACTGGGTCTGTAATGACAAGTTCTCTTCCAGAGTCTGTCAAAATAATTAAGAAGATATTACAATTGAGCCTCCCAAAAGAATTAAAAAAATTTTTGCAAAATCTCTTTCAGGTTCACCTGCCACTAAAGAAAGTACAATAAATAACCAGGTCTGGTCAGGAGGAATAATAACAGGAACAAAGTATCCTGTTGGTTATGTTTTACACCTTTTACTAAATCCCCACATTTTGCTGAAATGCATTAAGCAATTAATGAAAAAAGAAGGGAAAAAAAAGAGGAAACAACTATCACATTTTAACAAACTTATAAACTACTGAAATATTTAGTGATCCTGTCCATTTTAATTTCTTGTTGCTATATATTCCAGAATAGAGTGAAATCACACTGTTTCTGTTGGAAAAAAAATAACCAAGTTACTAATTTTAATTAGGAACCATAATTTAACTGTTTTAACAGAAAATTTTATAGTTTCAAAAAAGGAAAAAACTAGTGAGTTATAAATTCACTATAAATTCTTGGGGTGCCTGAGTGGTTCAGTCGGTTAAACATCTGCCTTCAGCTCAGGTCATGGTCCTGGCTACCTGCCTGCTCAGCAGGAGGCCTGCTTTTCTATCTCCCTCTGCCACTCCCCCTGCTTGAGCTCTCTCACTCTCTCAAATAAGTAAATTAATAAATCTTTAAAAAAAAAAATCATTCTTCAAAACTGTGTTTGATTACTGCTTTGTTGACTCAAAACCTATCACCAAAAGCAGTGTGGACCAGTGGGAAGAGTACAGACATCAGAGTTGAACAAACTGGATCCCAGCCTGGCTGGACCACTTAGAAGACATGTCACCTGGCAACTCCTTGAGCATCTCTATATCGGTTTCCTCACCTGAAAGTGGGCAATGACAAACTCTAACTTGTATGATTAATGGGTAACAAATGTGAATCAGCTAGCATGAGGCCCAGCACCACTCAAAAAATCAATAAAAATGCACAATTATACATCAGAACAAATGCAATACACATTCTATGTGCATATCTCATGAGTCAATAAAATTACTGAGTAGAAACTACAATGCCAGGGCAAGAAAAAAAAGATGCTCTGAACTACCTTCCTGATTATTCTGAAAGTCAAGATGCAAACTGGGGGCGCCTGGGTGGCTCAGATGGTTAAGCATCTGCCTTCGGCTCGGGTCATGATCCCGGGGTCCTGGGATCGAGCCCCACATCAGGCTCCTGGCTCAGTGGGGAGCCCACTTCTCCCCCTCCCTCTACCTCTCCCCCTGCTCATGCTCTCTCTCTCTCTGTATCTGTGTCTCAAATGAATAAATAAAATCTTTAAAAAAAAGATGCAAACTGAATCCCAAACCACTCAGGAAAGCCATGCTTTCAAAACTGAAGTTCACAGCCCTGAATGCAGAAGTGCAATCATACAGATTATTGAAAAGGAAAAAAGAAATAAAACGTGACCCTAGTGTTTTAAGTATTATTAGTTCATCATCAGGGGAGAAAAAGTAATTTAAAAAATGAAACTGCTGTTATTTCCAAAGAAGACCTATCTCTCTTCCAAGTTTAAGGGGAAGATGCTATTGGCACATCTCTCCGATTGTTTGGGGGTTTTTTTAAGGCAAAAATAATGAAAGAACTCAGCAAAAGTATATAAATAAACATTTCAGTAATGTCCTTAGTTACAAAAAGTTTTTTCAGAGACACTTTTTCATAGTGGTTATCTCCATTTAATGAGTATCTTTAGAAACAGCCTTGTCCAAAGCTAAGAAAATGTAAAAACCAAACCAGGACATATTTACCATTTTCATTATGCCGATCCTGAACCAAATGCTGGTACACAGAATCTGGAACTTCAGACTGACGGTAGTACCATTTGACGTTCATGAGTAGATGGTCCCTCTTACTCTGAAAAGGAAAATCTAACAGCATTAGGAACAGGATTTCGGGTGCCCACAGCTGTATACCATACCCATGATCAAAAGCCCCTGTAAACAGGTGGAGAGGCAGAGAGGGAGACTCACAATTATCACCACGACCACAAAAATACATAAGTCAATGAAGAGGTCAAAGATGTTTTTAATCCCAGCCATCACACCCTCTAACCCTATTGCTCAAAACACATCCCTAGAAACCAAAGGAGACCAAACTTGAACCTATAAATCTCCCCAGTTTAACTAATTCATTCAATATTGTGTTATTTAGCATAAACTATACAAAACTACATGAACACATCCTTCTATCTAAATTCTCAGTCATTTTGGTAAATATTTATAAATTGTGTCAGCACAGCGTCAAGGCCACTAAGGGCAATAGTTAGAAAAACCTTACCCTGCAAGGTCTGGCACGAGGTCATGTCTCCAAGGTGCGCCCATCTCCCAGACTGAACTACGGTCCCTCTACGGTACTGCCCCCGACTTGCAGTAATTGCCACAGTCCAACAGACACACAGAATGTGGGCCGTGGTGTAAGTCCTAGCAATCCATGGAGCAGGGGATCCTATCTTACTTACCTTCAAATTTCCAAAGAATGGAACAACTTGTCCATAGATATTTATAAATAATAAATATCTAATAAATATCTAATAAAGTTCTATGATGATCAGGGGCCCCTAAATGTCTGTGGGACACTTAGCCATGTTATCCCCAGAAGTTAACATGGCTCCTGGTTCATTCAAAGAATAAAGGAGGAAATACTGCCTTTCTATTTGAAGGCTATGGGGCTACAGCCTGAGGGAGACTGTCTCTATACACCTGGTTGTGAGAGAGCTGAACATGGCAAGTGCACTAAGGCTTCCCAAGGCCTCATAAAATAATTTCTAACCCAGGTGAGGGCCTTAAGAGACCTCCCCAAGGTGAATGCAGTATCATTCCTCTTAGCAGTGTCTACCTTCTCACGACAGGTCGGAGGTGAGTCAGAAATGAATGAGAACTAAAATTCAAGACACATCTCTTGTTTATGAAGGAGGTGACCACGTCTAAAATATGTCAAAGGAGTCTCCCTTAATAAAGTAAGATGCTTTCTGCTTAAATGAGAGGTATGTATATAGTCTTCACTAAAAGGCCAGAAAGGCTTCCAAAAAAAACCAACAACAAAAACCTTCACTAAAATACTTAAGCCATTTAAATTACTAGAAATAAAAGAACTGCCAAAAGTCTTGATGAACTCAAATGTGAAGAAGTGCTATTCCAAAGTGAGTATCATCAACACCAGGGTTCATACTTTCTAATTAACTGTGAAAAAAGACAGGCCTACAAAAACAAGGCATCATTATTGCTTTGAGTAAAACAGACTATACACAAAGAATAAACCTACATAATGGTACTTTTTAGTTTTTATCCATTTTGCACTTTATATTCTATGCTGTTTATACTAAAGGTGGGACAATCAAGTTGAATCAGTGTTATATAAAAAGAATAAATGTTACATGCAAGAGTTTATACACAAGAGCAATTACTCCCTGCAGAGGATTATGAAGGAGGTGACATCCGACCTGGGGGGAAAAAATGGGAAAGATTTCAATGGATCCTTTCTAGGCAAAGGAGACCTGAGGAAGACATAAAAATAGAGAAAAGAGAGAGGAAGCACTAGACATCCCCCCGGTCCATCTGCATGTAGCACAGGAAAACGTTCTGCATGGTATGGAGAAGAATTGGAATCCTGCCTTTAGTGGGTTTTTCTCTGGACAAGCGGGGTCCTCCATCTCTATTGCTGACCAAATACACAGGCAGTGAGGGACAACACACCAGGTGGTGAGAAAGCAACTAAAAGATTACAGTTTCCCCCCAAGGCACAGCAATAAACAGCAGGGCCAGGATGAGGCAAACCAGGGGGAGGGGCAGAGGCTGTTTGGAGGTAACTCAAAGAATAAACTCGCCTAAGTTAATACACTGTCTCATATGAGGGTTCTCACCTTCAGCATTGCTGACATTTGGTCCAGATAAGTCTGTTGTGGGTGCCTATCCTGTGCACTGCTTATTAGCAGCATTCCTGGCCTCCAACCACTAAATGCCAGAGGCACCCCTCCCTCATTGGGACAACCAAAAAAATGTCTCCACACGTTGCCAAATGTTCCCTGAGGGGAAAAAATTACTCCCCCCACCCCGGTTGAAAACCAGTGGTCTAACAGTTTCTTTTTTAAGGAAAGCTAAACCAGAATGGTGAGAATAAAGCCTGGTTTAAGCACTACCAGAAGGGAACATGGAATGTAGGTAAGAACATGGTAAAGTCTGTCAAAAGTTGGGTTCGAACCCCATCTTCACCACCTCCTAGCTACATGACTGTGGGCGTGTTAGTAAGATATTCTGAGCCTCCCCTTTTCTGTAAAACAGGAATACTGAAACCTACCTAACAGATGACTGAAAGAAGGAGAAAGATGGAAAAGTGTCTGGAACTGAGTAGGCACTCAGTTTTCTGTTACTAGGTGACCATAACCAGTGCTTCACAGAAAAATTTCAGGAACTTTGCTGAGAACCATAAGAGTTATTTCTTCATGAGAATATGGTTTCTTTCAAGAGATGAGAGATATTCAGTCCCTTAACTACTAATGGATGCCTCAGTGCTCACAGTAATGAACTACTTAACAGGGCTCAAAGGAATTCAGATCTACTAGCAGTCTTAGAAACCGTGTTCTGAAATCTATACTTCCATGTATTTTTTTTTAACACATCTAAGATGTCTGAAAACCTGAGGGACAACAGAAATAAGCTCTTAAAGGTACCCTAACTGGCAATCATACAATGTCTATTTTTCAGAACCAAGCCAGCAATTCTGGCTACCTTTTGAGGTTTAATATCTATGTTAACTTCTGACTCTCACACACTTAATGATCACACTCACACACACACACACACACACACACAAAATTACTGCTCTGGTTTATTTGTATCTAGATTTATGACTCCTAATACCAGAGGCAAGTATATACAAAGGCAGTTGAAAGCCTACTGGATTTCCTAATGCAGTACTACCTAATCACCAGGGAGTGGCAGCATTGCGTTTAAAAAAAGCCTCCAGAATCTTAATTCCGGATACAACAGAACAAAAGGTAGATTCAAAGTAAACAAGTTTTGAACAAACATTAAGTAGCTGTAACAGACGTAATCTTTCGAAACAGGCCTGGAAGTTAAAGATTAAACGTCTATAAAAGGAGGCGGTGTGCTGTTTCAGACAGTACTAGACTAAAATAATCTAGCCTTCTAGTCCTGTCTGCAATCACTAGTTTGCTGGGGACAACCTCAGTAGAGTCACCTGGCCATCTGACAAATGTGGGGGAGAACAACAGGATTTCTAGAATTGCATTTCATTTTATATGCTTATATCTAGATTTCTTCCCCAGACAAAACCAACAGATAAAGTGGGGTTGGGGGAGAGCCTCCTGTTTTCTCCACATCAACATAATGACATCAGCTAACATTAGCATCCTAAAGAGGTTTTACAAATTAAAAAGCCATCTTTCCTGGAAGCTGCGTGCAGTGAGGAACAGCAAAGGGGAACAGAGCAGCGCACCCCCTTCTCCTGGTTAATGGTCCCAAAGCTGCCTCAGACACACAGGTGCTGCCCAATATTAACCACAGGATATCTTCGTGTTCTTCCCACTGTTCATTAGACAAAGACCGCTGCTCAGAATCACAGAAAACTGAAAGCAAAAGTAAACTTAGGTATGAATCAGGGTTTTGCAACTGACTTGGGCAAATGACTTCTCCAAGTCTCACTACTCTCATACATAAAATGAGGGGAAATAATTCTGCCACATTCAGTTGTGAGGATTAAATAAATTAATATGAGTAAAGTGAACTGGCTCTCAGTAAGTGTTGGATATTACTATCGTACAGATAGTCTACAGATGCAGACAGGAATCAAGCTACAAGAGGTTTACTTATACATTTTGCTTTTCCCAGATTCAAAATTAAGCTGGTAAGAGCAATACAAAAATAAATCATGTAGCAAAGTAGGGGGGAAGAATTTCCACTTTTGCAACAATTTGAGAAGCATATCAAGTATTTTTAATAAATAGGCCTGCCTCATTACCAACTAGTGATATAATTGTACAACTCCATAAAGGTCAAAATGGTTATAAGTGACATATTTTAAACAGAATGCTGAATAAAGAGGGAAGTGGTGAGAAGCTTCCCATGTGAAGGCACCCTGGGGTATATTTCTGGATACAGAGAAGAGCCCACTGAGAAGTAAATAATTTCCCACCATTTTATCTTTAGAGAGAGAGAGATCTGACTGACTGTACAGGAAGTAGGAAGCACCAGCTCTAAGGAAAAACCACCACACAGGAACGTGTCCAATGTGCTTACAGTAAGGTTTCCAAGGATAACTGTGTAAACAAGTAGAGCAGTTGATCCTGGGTTAAATTAATGGATTCTTCCACATCACTGGCCTGGACTTCTCTGAAAGGAGGGATGTATGTAAATTTAAGGAAATAATTTAATTGAGGACAAAACCCATCCCTACCTGGGTTTAGAAAAAAAGACAAACAGCTTAATATTGGGTGTTTGGGAACAGAACAGGAGGATTTGTAGAGCTATGAATATCAGGCAATGGACTGAAAATTAATGAACTAAAAAATCAGAACTGAAATTAAACATTCAGGATGAGGTAACTAACAAAGGTAGACTAGGAGAAAGGGAAGGCAAAGAGGAGGCTGCTGTTGAAGGGACTGGTTCATTTTATTGGCAGCACAGAATTCAACCATCCCAAATAAATATAAGATCCAAGGCCAAGAAGTAAATTTCCCTTCCTAGAGATCTTCATGATTATTAATACAGTAGCTTCACTGATTAAATAGCCAATCTGAATCTTTCCTAAGACCAGTCTTGATATCATCTGAAAAAACATGTTAACATTAAAAAATAAATGAGGGCACCTGGGTGGCTCAGTTGGTTAGGCGACTGCCT